CCCATAGGTGAATTTTGTCATCACAGCCCCAAATTCTCCAACCTGTTTCAAACCAAGTCTCCCTGAATTTACACAGGCGTCCCATGAAGAAGCATGCAACTCAGATAAGCCTGCACAGAACTCCAATTACCTCACCTTTTCCCTACCTCCGATCACCCTTCCCCAAGGTCTAAGACCACCTTGCTTCTTTGTCCCCTAAGTATTCCAAACACCTCTCCTTCTGGGAGGCAGACCTGAGACTTGTTCTCCTGCCTCTTCATTGGGTTGCCTCACAAATAAAATTTTTCCCTGTTGCAAACCTCAGCATCTCAGTGTTTTGGCTTGCAGCTCCTCGAGCAAAAGAACCTGGCTCCCTAACAGCAGCAGTCAAGTTTTTAAGTTGTAGGTAAGTACAATGCCTGAAAGGATACACAACAGGAATGGAAGGAATCTGAATCAACTCTCAACCCCCAAATTTGCATCCACCCTCAAATTATACAGTCCTCCCCCCAACCCCCAACCCCCAAATCTGGATGCACCCTAGTAAAAGAAAGGAAAAGAAAAGAAAAGAAGAACTGTAACAAAATAATAGTGAATATGTCTGGGCTATAAAATCATGGATTTTATACACACACGTATTTTTCTTGCTAAGGAAAAAAAATCACCGCGGTTAAAAAAAAACAACACTTTTTTAAAAAGGAAAGAGAAAGGAAATGAACAAATGAAACATTTTTCAAGTGAAGAAAAATTAATAAAGAAACCTCTTCTCTCACAAAGACGCCCCTGAGAGACAGGCTGTTGAACTCTCTCATCCTACCATTATTTGGGCCACGTTCACCATGGGGTGAAGGACACCTAAGCCACCTGTGGAGAAGGGACAAAGTTGGGTTTACCCAGCCAGGTGTGGAGGAACCCCTGTCTCCCTGTCTTTCCCCGACTTCATTCGGGTTCCTGCTTCCATTAAAAGAAGAAAAAGAAAAAGTCCTTTCGATTTCGATTTTGTTTCTCGTAAGCCCAACCCATAACGGGATGGCTTTTGATAATCGGCTGGCTTTTCATCTTCTAAATAAGAGTCGGTTTCCGGAGGAGCCAGACGCAGGAGGAACTCTAGGGGTGAGCCGGAGCAGCTAACTTGATCCCGGCCGCAACCGCGCCACGTAAGTTTGCTGCTAAGCTTTACCTTCCAAGCACATTTCCATTAAATAACAACGATAAATCCCCCAGCGCAGGTTCCACACTGCGGGAGGGGAGGCCGCGGACGCCAGCGCCGCGCGGAGGGTGTGCGCCCCGGCGGGCGCGCTGCTTGGGCAGCTCAGCGTCTCCTTTTGGATCCGGGGCGGTTGCCAGACGTGTCGCCGGGATGCGCAGCTCCTCCTCGAGCATCTACGCAGGGCTGCAGCAAAAAGCCCTGCATGGGAGAGGGAGGAGTGCATGCTATATCTTCTGAGGAAAGGGGGCTGAAGTCCTTTTCGGAATTGAAGGCCCAAACCCCCGGCCCCTTGCAGGGGCGCTGGGTGCGGTCTCTTCCTCTAGCCCCTCCTCCCCTCCTCGGACACAACCTGACTACGCCTCGCTGGGCACTGGAGAAACAGGGAAAAGATGGTCCTTGACAGTAGAGACAATTTAAATCCTAAACTGACCCTGCATTATTTTTGTCTTAACATTTGATTTTCCGAATACTACAGAACTGTATTATACGGAATAATTCAATCTCACTCTCACTAAAAAAAACTATTAATTAACTGTTAAGGTCTAATCATGTTTGTTTATCATACATTGTTTTTCATGTGTGGCCCAAACATTAATCGCATCAGAATAATTTCTGGTACTTGCTGAATATACAGGGATTGGGGTATGTTAACTATCACTTTAGATAATTCTCCTGAACAGTAAGTAACCTTTGGAAACTGTTGATTGCCTCTGCCATCTAGTAGCACTATTCTTTTCCACTTGTTTAGTTTTGAAGTTAAAAGCTTCTGATTTTGGTACCTCAGTATACTTTGATTTAAGAAAGAATCTTGTAAACTCATTGACTTACACAAAGCTTTATCAATATTCAATCTCAGAAATAAGCTCTACAATTTCTCTTGCTTATAGCTATTCAGCTTAAAAATAAAACAGTTATTTTACCAGCAAAAGTGAGTTTATTTGGGAATAGCAGAGGAATTGCAACTTGGGACAAGCAAGCTATAGAAAAAGCCATAGGCAAGTCCAACAAAGAACATTATTTTATAGAGAAAAGGAAGGGGCTGAGAAGGTTGGTTTGTAAAGAAAAGTCAAGAGTTCAGGGTCATGACAGATTCTCATTGACTGAGTTGCCAGATAGTCAATTCTCGTAGGAGATGCAATGTACGCCTTTTCCTATAGGGGACTGTCACTGATGACTCCTTCAGGTGGAAGATTTTTCCCCTGGGGTCTGCAATTGACAATTCTTCCTGTAACTGACCTCCAGGCAGTAGTTCTGCATGAGACCTCCCCCTTCTGGCCTGCTGACTCCATGTGAGTGAGGTTTCCTTGTGATGGGGATGGGTGGAGCACAGCGAGAGCTTGTGGGATCTTAGTTCCCTGACCAGGGATGGAACCAGCGCCCTCCTCAGTGAGAGCTCAGAGTCTCAACCACTGGACAGCCAGGGAATTCCCCAGGTTTCCCTTTATTAATGTACACATAACACAGTAGTAAAAGGTCATGTTTTACTCCCCCATCTCTGCCCCCAATCCACTATAGAAAAAGAAAAGAAATTGTACAGAGGAAGGCTGTTAAATAAATTCATGTTTTTTTCTAATAAAAAGGTTTTAGATACAGTACCTTATATTTCTTGGCAATTTGCAGCTTACAGAATTCATTGACACATTATAACACAATGTCTAATTGCTGATTATTGAAATAGTACATGAATCCAGAAAAATTCTTTTTTCATAATTGATAGCCTATCTGTTACCAGCTATACAGTAATGAATCAGGCAAGAATTGTTGCTTTACCTATAAACTGATAAGAAAATGCAGACTGTGGAGGTAACTTCCTTTTTCAAGGTCTCAACAGACAATAAGTGACTTAAACCCTTGGGTTGGAACCCTGGCAGCCGGACTCCAGAACCTGTACTTGGACATCCCAGGGCAGCTCTGAGTTCCTCCAGCCTGTCTCTCCCTCCATCCGTGTCCTCCTTCTCAGCTGTTATCACTGGTCCTCCCCTACCTGCTCATCTTCCTCATGGGCTGTGTCCTCCCACTTGCTTGCAACCAGGGAGGGAAGTGTCACTGTTTCAGGCCAAAGCTAATCCTCCGCTTTCATTCAGAGATTACCCTCTCTGTCTTCAGAGACACTTAATTTTAAAACAATACTTATATAGAATTTACTATGTACCAGCATAATTTTAAGAGCATTGTAAGCATTATGAGATATTTAACCCTCCTAATGACCCTAAAGACACACTGAATTTTACTTTTAGGGTTACCATTTTACAGAAGAGAAATCTGAGGCACAGAGAAATTAATCTTTCCAGTCGTCACATAGCTAGTAAAGTATGGGAACATGAGGATGTTGCTTAGTATTGTCTGAGAAAATAAAGGGACAGTGAAAACTCTCTGACTGCTGTCTGTCTCTTGAGATCATGAAACACCCAATCATTGTGATGAAATCATTTAAAGTAGAGCCTGGCCCAGATGTGAGACTGGAAAATATGTAGGCAGACCTTAAAACACCCTGGTTGCTTGCCTCTCTTCCCTGTCAGCTTAAATAACAAGAAATTGTTGCGGTCTCGCGCACACCTGCGAACTTCCCCCAGAGAGAAATCAGAACCAAGACAGAACACTAATATCCAGTGCAAATCAAGAGTAGATTAGTGATAGGAATTTATTAAGCACAAAAGCACAAACCGATCGGGGCCTCACCAAAAGAAGGGTGAGACCCCGAATCTTGTACAGGTGTGGTTTTTATATCCCAGGGCAACAAGATGTTTGTTCTAATTTTGAAATATTGGGTCGGCCATCCGGAACCCAGTGTCTTCCTGTTCACATTATGCTGGCAAGCAAAGCTCATTTCCACAGAAGCCAAGTCAAGCGGTTAACAATAAAAGCAGTTATAGTACAAACAGTTTTAAACCAAAACATTTCATCATTAATTCCAAGTATTAAAATCTAAATTGTATGTTCTTGGACAGCATGTCCCGTCACAAAATGTCCTGTAATTTCAGTTAATAAATTCATTCTTACATGCACAACTTTGTTAGGTACCTTTAAGGTCTGTCCTGTTGTGTTTGAGGGAGAGCTGCATTCTTTGTGTCTCCTTTCCCTCACAGTAACTCCTTTTCCAGTCTGTTCCCACCGATTCAGTGCATCTATCTTCATCAAGGTCACCAATCACATTCATTTTTCCTTTGTTGGCAAGTTTTTCCCTGATTCAACTCTATGTGAATTCAACCCCCAATACTCTAAACACCATTCCCTCTCATTTCCTTCTGATCATTTACCATCCTCAATATACATACATGTATTTTGCTTTTCCACTTTCTATATTATCTGTCTTCTCCACTAGATTAGATTTCCATGAAGCAGGGATTTGTACCCATTTTGTTCACTGTTTGATACTGAGCCCCTAGAACAATCTCCAGCACATGGTAGGTTCTCAATAAATGTTTGTGCAATTAATGAGTGACCAAATCATTCTGAAACTCCAGAAATCGTCTCTGGTCACTCCTCATCTCCTTCATGTCCCATTCTGCCTCTACGTACCCCTAAAACGTTAGTGTTCTCATGGCTCCATCAGCAATGCTTTGTTTTCTCATTCTATTCACTGTATGCATCACATGGATAAGGTTGCTTTAGGGTTCGTGTAAGGATCAATAAGATGATGTACATAATGTATCTGTACAGACCTTGGCACACTAGGCTAAATACTTATCTTTTAGAAGCATACAAAACATAGAAAATTGATATATAAGTTCCAAATGCAGAAGCCTGATGTGCATCGTGAGAGATAACTTGTGGATCTTGCGTTTTACTGAGTCGTTCCTCTGGGTTACAGCTTCCCATGGCGTCTGGATCCACCATAATGGACCCCATCTGTCTGGTGGAAAACCAGAACAACCATCTGACAGTAAATCCAAAAGCACTGAAGATTCTTGACCAGATTTCTCAGCCTGTGGTGGTGGTGGCCATTGCAGGGCTGTATCGGACGGGAAAATCCTTCCTGATGAACCGCCTGGCAGGGCAGAACCATGGTGAGTGTCGTTTAGTGTTGTTCAGGACCATTTGCTTGGAAGCAGTGATAACACAGGCTGTGGATCATCCTCCTCTAAGTGTCATGTTAAGAAAGAGCCTAACCCCTCCCACTGAAGAAAACTTCAAATTCTCACCACCAAATTTATAACTTCAAACCCATCTCCCCACAATGTTCACTCTTTTGTCCAGTAATCAAGTGTTCCCAACCCCATGGAAACAGCCACCTCATTCGTCCTGATCCATTGCCATCTGCTCAGGGGCTCATCTTCAACAGTTATTCCCTTCCTTTCTCCTTCCTCACTTTGGCTTTAAACAAGAGTCATTCCAAGCAGCACACAAATATTGTTCAACATGTCTTATTTTTAAAAAGGGATGAAAGGAAGAACAGACAGTAAAATCCCTATATCCCATATCTCAGTGGGGCTACCATGCATTCTTTTTGGCTTAATTTCACAGCAAAACTTTGATAAACTATACGCCTTCTCTTTCTCTAACTAGTCTTTTGTAATACGTGAACTCTAAAACATATGGAAGAGTGCATAAAAATATATATAAATATAATAAAGTTGATAAATATGAAGCGATCATCTGTTCAGTCACTGCCCAGATCAAAAAATAAAACATCACCAACGCCCAAAAGCACAAATCACACCCTCTCACACCCTCACTAGAGCTCACCAATGTTTTGATTTTCATGGTGCATTCTTTCGCTCTTCCTATTTAAACATGGTTTTACAATCTATGTAAACATTTCTTAAAAATAGCTTAAACTTTATAGAGGGAATTTCATTCTGATATTCATTGGATCTTGCTTCATATTCTCGATAAGAAGTTTATGAGGTTCATCTAGCTTGTCATATGTGTCTGCAATTATTTCCACTCGTTTGTACTTTGCAACTGACAGAGGATACCACAATTTATTCATACATTTGTTGCTGATGAACAACAAATGGTGTTCTCATGATTATTCTTCCATCTATATCCTGGTGCACATGTACACTAACTTCCTTATGTTATACCCAGAAGTGGAATTGCTGAATCAAGAAGTATTTATGTCTTCAGCCTTTCTAGATAATATCAAACCTTTTAAGCTTTTTAAACCTTTTAAGCTTTATCAAACATTTAAAGCCTTTTATGCTTTATGTCAGTTTATATGTTTATTAGCAGTAATTTAGAATTATGCACATCCTTACAAAATTTTGGTAAAAACACTTTTTAACTTTTGCTGATCTGGTGTCTGTGTAGTTGCATGTTATTTGCCTCACTACAGATAAGCTTAAGCACCTTATTACATATTTGCTATTTGCATTTCCTATTTCAAAAGGGTTTTTTTTTTCCTACCAAGTTACCTGACTTGTTTCTTGTTGATTTTTAGAACAATCCGCCTATGTCCTGTTGGGCAGTTCTAAGAAGACCACGCACCATTTCTTTCTTAATGCCTTCCTCTGTGGCCCAGTGGCTCAGCACAATTAGGGGGTAGAACCTCAGTCCACTAAACTCTAAGGATCCTTGGGAATATCTCATTGTCTCTCTCCCTCAAACTATCTCTGTCTCTGTATCTCTCTCTCCCCCATCTTTCTTTTTTCTTTCTTTCTCCCTCTCTCTTTTTTGCTTTGCAATCTCTTATTGGCTTCAAACAAAACACTTTATGTTTGTCTTTCTTTGAGAGGAACTTGATCACCAATCAGAGAGGACACTTTTCCTTGACAGCCTAAATTAATAAATGGGTCATTTTTGGAGGGATTAAAGATTGGAGAACTCTAAGAAAAAGATACATACAAGGGGTTTCAACAACATTCTTGTTTTTCTACTTGAGATTACATCAGGTAACAAGGAGGTGATTTCCCTTACTGAGGAAATACCTAACCTAGTTTTGTTTTATAACACCTGAATTGTGACTCACCACCCCAGTCATATTACAGGAAGAACAAAAACAAACAAAATTAGCACCCAAAGTCGGCTAGCAGAACCAAGTCACTACTCTTTCTCCTTGTGATGACTTCTTGCCTGTTCTTTACCTCACATAACTTGTACTGATGAGCTCCAGTTACACCTTGTCTTTTCTACCTGGGGAAGTTCAGATTTTTCTGTATTAATCAGCAAGCAGTCAAATACCATCACGATGTAGAAAAGTGCAGATCATCTCAGGTCTTACACCCTCTCTGAGCAGAACGCACAGGATGTGGCAATTGAGGGGCCTGAGCCATGCTGAACAATGCTCCCCTAGGTATTTCATCATATCCATTTCCATTCTCAGTTGAAGGGAGCACTGGCATATGGTCAAAATCTTGGGCTGTTGGACGAGATCCATTACCTGCAGCTTCCAAGGCATATACCTCATATCCTCTTCCCCTGTGGGCTTAAGCCTTTGGAAAGAAAAGCAAGCAGTTCTCACAGGTCTTTTCTGCTTTCCCTTCTATTATATCACCACGTGAGTCAGTGAACAAAGAATTCATCCTTTTTTTGAAGAGGAGAACAGAAATGAGGAAAATACAAGGAGGAAGTGGAGGAAAAGAAACTAAAAAAGCTGTTCTATCAGTCCACGTCCTGAAAGGACACAGATAATCCATTTAAAGGATAACTGAAGATGTTTAATGGAGTGACAATTACAAGGACACCAGCGGGGCAAATGGAACCAATAAAGGTGCAGAGTAGCCAGAGAGTGACAGGAACAAAGGCCAGGTAGCCTTTATAAGTCCTGTAGTGTGAAGAGGCAATGTGTAGATTCCAGAATGTGGCAGAGACCAGAGTTACCGGTTGGAGCTATAAATGAAAGGAGATGTGACCAAAGTAGAGGAACAGAGACACTGGGACACTGTGGCTCACCAGGGTGGAAGCCAGGGGAACAGGAGGCTGACTTCTGATCTCCCGCTGGTACCTCTCACTGGCAAAAGTCCATCAGAAAGTGGGGGAGAAGGGAGCTCTTCAGTGGCAGATAAATATAGAAAGGTTAATAGAGCTAACATTATTTCTGGAATGTGACACAGTTTGAGCCATTAATATTAGGAGGTGAACAGGGGACACTAAGTGCTTCTTGAGAAGGTTCTGAATGTGTACAGAGGTTGGATTTTCTGTCCTTGTTGAAATGGAAGCACCTTCCTCTGAGACAGGCACTCACCTTCCAACAAGTTTACCCAAAGTAACCGCCGGGCAGCCTGGACTATCTGTTCTTACTGTGTGCTGCTTTCTCCTCTTTCTTTGCAGGTTTCCATCTGGGCTGCACAGTGAGGTCTGAAACTAAGGGCATCTGGATGTGGTGTGTGCCCCACCCCTCCAAGGAGAGCCACACCCTGGTCCTTCTGGACACCGAGGGCCTGGGTGATGTGGAAAAGGTAAGGCGGGGAGTCCAGTAAGCTCTTGATACTCCACTGATGCCTCAATTTCCCACCTCAATTCAACTTTTATAACATGTTCCTATAAACTGCAAATCCAATTAAGAATAATGAGGCTAAAATCTCTTACCTTGAATTTATTCTTTAATAAGATGAATACTTTCGTTATTGGGGATAGATCGCCTTATTTTTAACACTGGGGTGAAAGATACAAGTTAACAAATATTTATTGGGCATCTGAATTCCAGGGCTTTTCTATCACAGTGAGTGAGGTATGGGCCCAGAGCTGAGTTGGGGAGATAAGAAATATGCAGTCTTATCAGTTCAGGGAGCCATGGACAAAAAAAGTGAGACCTTACCCCAGTTGTTCAGGTTCAGGAAGACATCCTGGTGGAAGCTATAATCCATGGAATCCACTGGCTTTACAGGTTAAGGTATATGAGGTTAGAGGTAGGAATCATGAAAATATGTTTTCAGTGAATAAACTATTTTTAAAATCTCCAGAAAAGCTTCCACTATACCAGGAACATTTTATTCTGAGTTTCGGGGCTCTGAAGATGAATCCTTCAATGAATTCTATAAAAACATAAGCTAGACCCACCATAAAAATGTAAATGGGATAATATTAGGTATTTTGTCTTCACAGCGTTACTTGCAATCAGTCTTTTCTCCTTATTTATATTAATCTGCGTCTAAATTAAAGTAGTAGCAGTGAATCTTTGGCTTTCATCACTGCAGGCAAGGGTTGGGGCATGCATTAAGAAATTGTGAGTTTAAAAATCCAGATTTAAAATATTCAGTAATCACCTCAGTGTCAGCCCAAGATGGTCTACTGATTCCTACTAGACTTTAGTTTGTATAATCTTCTTTTTACCTAACTGCATTTGTCAAGGAACTAAAGCACACCAAATTGCAAACTGATAGAGCGGAACTACTTGCTGTCGTTACTACATGTAGTGTATTTTGGTAGTATATATAATCTATTCCAAAGTCACTCATGACTTGTCCTAATCTCATTTTCAGCCTCATCATCTATTACCACATGGGTAACCACTATTTCAGTCAAATAAAGTAACCTTATAATACCTCTATATGACCACACTTTCTGGCAATTGTCATCGGCTTCTGTGGGTCCTTCTACCTGCATGATCCCTATAGCTCCACAAATCCACATTCTGTCAATTCTTTAAAGCCCAGCTATTTTCATCTTAATACCATCGTATCACTGTCAGACATATTCACTTCTTGCTCTGAATGCACAGAGTACTTTTTCTGTTTTTTTGGAATTGCCCCTTTGTCTTTTACATTATAATATTTGGTTCCATGCCTGGCGGTTTATCATCTTGAATGTATTTATATGTTCCCAGGTATATCTGCCCCTCCATCTCTCTAGGGCAGAGACTCTCATATGAAACTCTATATCCACACAAGCAGATGCAGTATCTGCTGTTTTCTAAATGCACAATGAATAGATGATGAATTTAATTGAATAGCACTAGTCCCTAATATAGCCCATGATCAAGAAAAAAAGTGCAAAGGAATCATGGCCCACTTATTACTGCATAACTTCTGTGTTCCAGGCACTGTATTAAACAGTTGACACATTTCACATCGCTCCCTTCTGTTAACAGCTAACGAAACTGAGGCCCTGAGAGGTGTCAGTGTCAACACCAGAAAGATTTGCATTTAGCACTGTCTTGAAATTTTATGTTATTTGCCTTACTGTTGAGTTACAGGACAGCTGTTATAGTAAATGAACAACTGAATGAGAGAATGGGGAGGGGTGTCCTCAGTCCCCTGATGCAATGTACTTTCTAGGGTGACTCCAAGAATGACTCGTGGATCTTTGCCCTGGCCGTGCTTCTGAGCAGCATCTTTGTCTACAACAGCATGAACACCATCAACCACCAGGCCCTGGAGCAGCTGCAGTATCCTTCCAGGAACTGAACCACCATGTTTCATTGAGTTTATGGGAACAGCAACTGACACTGTTTCTTCTTTCCCATGACTCCTTTCTCATGGCTGATAAGAAGGGAAAATGGAGCAAAAGGGAATGTTGACAAAACTTGTGTGGGGTTGAGATCTGGAAATTGTGTTGGAGGGCACTTCTCATTCCTTAGCTAAGATCCCAGCTATGTGACTGAACTAACAGAGCTAATCAGGACAACATCCTCTGCCAGCTCTGATGAAGTGCAGGACTCAGCCGAGTTTGTGAGTTTCTTTCCAGACTTTGTTTGGGCTGTACGGGATTTCATGCTGGAGCTGGAGTTAGATGGATACCCCATCACTGAAGATGAGTACCTGGAGAATGCCTTGAAGTTGATTCCAGGTATCAGAGTAGGGCCAGGAGTGGGGGAAGGTTCAGTAGGAGATGGGATCAACAGAGCTCTGACATTCAGCACTTGATGTCAATCTTGATTTGGGGTTGGATTGAGGCCATGCTAATGGTGCTTGGTGAATGACTGGTGGGTGTGGCTTCAGTCATTATTGTTACTGGGAAAACCCCAGTGACCAGAGCTTAAGCTCACAGAGGAAATTTATAATCCAATATTAGACCAAATGATTTTAGAAAAATGGGCACCATGGGAAAAAAAGGCTCACCTACTTATATTACATATTAAGTCTAAGTGCTTTTCCTTTCCTATTTGAGAAATATAATCCATCAAATTGGAAACACAGAATCACAAGATAAACAAAAGAACTAATTTCTGAAATACCTTTAACACAGTGTATCTTACCAGCATACGTAGCTACATCCCTCATATTGATAGATAGGCTATTTATACAATAAAGAGTTCAGAAAAAAAAGCATTGCCATGTCCTTCCAGTAAGACTGTCAGACCCATAATATGTTCTTCCTCATAGTATCACACTCTTTATTCTAGAACCTAACACCGTATATGTCATGTTAATATAAAAAATTAGTTACTCAGATTATTTTAGCAGAGAGGATAATGGGTGGTACCTAGAAGCAATATTCATTTTTTGATTTAATCATTCATTCATTGTTTCAAGAAATATTTATTGAACTACTGATATATGCCCAGAATCCCTTTGTATGATAGTCACGTCCAATGTAAAATGACACAGAGGATGGACGAGGTCTCCTAGTTTCATTTAGGCTAACCTTATCGTGAGATGGTGTATGCTAAAGTAATCTCCAAACATATTTATAGTATGGGTATGTTTTTACTCTGATGTATAAATCTTCTCTTTACTGTCCTGAGTATCATTTGTCTTCCACGGGTTATTTTCTCAGCAATATCATAAGTATCTTTATGTCTACCATTACATTACTGACATTACATTACATTACATGCCATTTCTGACATGGGGACTATAATGTCAGAAAAATATTTCTGACAATTTCTTGGATTAGTCTATCATTCAAGAAACATCTAATAAATAGTTGATCCACTGCACGCCATGGAAGGGTGAGGAAAATAATCAGTAGTTTCTTCACTTGGAATGGATTCCTCCCCTTCCTCCTCAGAAGTACTTTCTTCACTCTTAGCTCTGTACAAAAATAAAGCAGGAGGTGGGGTATTTTCCATGTCCTGAATAGATTAGCATAAGGTTGATTTGCGTGATTCAATAATAGGAGATACATAGGCACAGTAGTTACAGTGATGCAAAGATCCACAGAAATGAAAGTCCTCAGCCCCCTCACCTGAAAGCTGTTCCTTCAGTGATTGCTCTCTTTCCACTCCTGCAGGCAAGAATCCCAAAATCCAAAATTCCAACATGCCCAGAGAATGCATCAGGAAGTTTTTTCCAAAAAGAAAGTGCTTTGTCTTTGACCGGCCTACAAATGACAAAAAATTATTACTCCATATTGAGGAAGTGCCAGATGACCAACTGGATGAGAATTTCCAGAAGCAATCAAAAAATTTCTGCTCATATATCTTTACGCATGCAAAGCCCAAGACCCTAAGAGAAAGAATCACTGTCACAGGGGGAGGTGAGTCTCCTTTGCTACAGCATGTCTCTCTGTGGTTCAGTGTGTGTGATGAAGTTGGGATTGCACTCTGGGTTTGTCAGCAATTGTGATTTCTTCTCTGTGTAACTTGGAAAGATGTATGTTCATGCAACACATGTAAATGCATGTTTCTTCATTAAAAGAAGCCGATGTAAGGCTACCAAATCTCATGAAAGTATTACACTAATGATGTAAGCTAAAGATTGAAATCTTCATGGTGATGCGGTGTCTGACAGGATAAGTGTTTCAAGTGAGGATATGCAAGATATTTTGTGAATTTACATGAATGGGAAAATGAATAGTAGTCCATGAATCCATGTAAGCTCATTGAGAGTCTGAGAAACAAATGTAAATACAATCTTATGTACGGGGCTGGCTTCACGGACATGAAACCCGGACAGTCACAGTGTAATGTGCTGAGATGGGCCCTGCTTGGTTTAATGTTTGTGTCACTGCCCTGAAATTCTTGATGACATTTTCATCAAGACATTTTCATTTACAAATAGTGCCCCCAAGTAATGTAATTTACTTACAGGTTTATTTTATAAAAATGGGAAAAGTGTTCTGGGAGACCCTTGAGCATATCGTTTGAAATCATCTGGCTAATATTGTAATGGGATGAATTTGAGAACCATAAAAGGTAGAGCGAATAGGAGACACAGTGATGTTATAAAGAAGTGGATTCATAGAACAAAAAGGAGGAGGCTACAAGAATGAAGAAAATGAGGAGAATAGATAGAAGAAAACTTCAAATTCAATAAAATTTTAGTGATTCTTTAGAATGCTAATCTCTAAAGTTATTAAAACAGGTGAGAATTCTCTCCCCATTTCATAAATATCCTATGTCTCAATCAGGGTTGGGGACTCTGGTGGTGGCTTACATAGATGCCATCAACAGTGGAGGAGTTCCTTGTTTGGAGAACGCAGTGATAACTCTGGCCGAGCGTGAGAACTCAGCGGCCGTGCAGGAGGCAGCCAACCATTACAGTGAGCAGATGGCCCAGCAACTGAGGCTCCCCACGGACACACTCCAGGAGCTTCTGGAGGTGCACGCAGCCTGTGAGACGGAAGCCATTGCAATCTTCTTGGGGCGCTCCTTCAAGGATGACAAGCAGACATTCCAGAAGAAGCTGGTGGTAATGTGCTCTGGAATATATCCTTCCTGATTCCTTTCTTCTGGAATGATACCTAGATTCCTCCTTTTGACACCATGGTTGATGTGCTTCTCATCATATAAGGAGTTTAGATTCTAGTGAGTGATAGGGCTCTACATCTCTTTTCTAAAAGTTGGGCTTTTAGTTTCTGTTGTGGCAAAACAAATTACACTGTGCTTAGCAGCTTGAAACAACACACATCTATTAGCTTATAGTTCTTCAGGTCAGATACCAGCCCAGGGTCTATAGGTATTCTGCTCCGTGTACCATAGCTGAAAACAAGGTTCAAGTGGGCTTGGTACTCACATGGAGGCTCTGGGGAACCCCACTCCATCTTCAACCCAGCAGTGGTGCACGGTTTCCTTCTTTTGTTTCTAATCTCTCCAACTACCTCTTCTGCCACCAACTGGAGAAAACATCTTTGAAGGGGCTTGTGATTAGGTAAGGCCCACCTAGGTAATCTCCATTTCTTAAAGTCAACCTGTTCCATGTAATATAGTCTAAACACAGAATAATTGTTCATCATCTTCACAAGTCCAGGAACTATGTGGAGTGTGGACACCAGCAGAGAGAACTCTTGGAGATCATAATTCTGCTTACCATTGGCACCTTCACTGAAAGTTTGACTTTCAGTCTCCCTTGACCATCCTATAATTTACAAAGATCTCTTAGTACATACAGAGTAAAACCAGCTCAATTGTAATTTATAAGTACAAGCAAAAAATTTCTGTTCCTATAATTTCACACACTCAAATCCTCAATGAATCAAGAATTCAAAAAGAGTTCAAAACTCTGTTCAGTGTATACTTAATTCATTAGTAGGAAGTTGATTTGCTATGTACATATTTTTATCCATAGCACCCAAGTTTGAAGAGGAAACCCTACTTCCATTCATAATTGTACTTTCATTGTTCATTGTTGATGGATGGATCACTGTTAGTGCTACTACTGCTAAAGTAAGTAGTTTGCCTCTGCCAACCACATCATTGCACAGATGTTTAGACTGAGCCCAGGGGATTTAAGGGACTTCATACAAATCACACAAAGCGTTTGTCAGAACTGGAACTGAAACTAGACTCCTGACTCCACATCTATTATTCTGTGTCTCATGTACCTGATGCTGTCAGACTACTTCTTCCAAGAGGATCACAGTCGGACCTTCCCTCTAACAGCTTCTTCCTATTGGATTTCTCCATATTTCCCTGACAGGACATCATGGAGAAAAAGAAGGATGTTTTCATGATCCAAAATGAAGAGGCCTCTGTCAAACATTGTCAGGCTGAGCTTAAGAAGCTTTCAGAATCCTTGATGACAAGTATTTCAGGAGGAACTTTCTTTGTCCCTGGAGGACACAGTCTCTACTTAGAAGCAAGGAGCAAGTTTGAACAGGACTATAAACTGGTTCCCAGGAAAGGAGTTAAGGTGAGGAGTAATGGGAGTGGGAAAGAACAGAAGATTGGAGTCAGAGGGTCTTTTTGGTTCATTTGGTTGCCAGGTCTTGCTTTGTGCAGAGGCTGCTGGTCACAAGGAGGCTGACTGTGGAACCCCGGAGGGCTCTGGGTCTAGTGCTACATTTCTGGTGAGCAGAGTAAGTGTCCAGGAGACCCCAGGACTGTTGCCTGCCCACTGGTGGGTGAGGCCAGGTCCTAGGGCTAGTGCCAGCTTTCTGGAGGACAGAGCCAGATCCTGGAGTCCGGTTGCAGGGCCCAGGAGTCCCAGAGCATGTGTTGGATCACAGTTGGGTACAGCCAGTTGGGCTGCTGGATCTGGGGTGTCTTGAAGCTTCTGTTGGCCTCCTGTTGGTCCAGGCCTGGGCCCAGCTGGTCCCAAGGCAGGATATAGGATAGTGGGTGGGCTGGCCCTGCAGACTGCAAAACTGAGGTTTTATTGCAACTGGTATCTTCTTCCTGGTGTGTAGAGCTGGGTCCCAGGGTCTCTGACTAAAGGGCCCTGGGGGTTTCAGGTCTAGTGCCTGTGGCCTGGTGAGTGGGACCAGGTCCCTGGCCCTCTGGTGGGCAAGGCCATGTCCAGAGGCGACGGTGGGCTCAGGAGGTCTGCTGGTGGGTGTGGCTCTGTCCATGCCCAGTTAGTTGCTTAGCCTGAAGCATCCCAGCACTGGCGCCTGCAGACCACTGGACCAGGGCAGGGCTGGGTCTTGGGGTTAATAAGCTAGGGGGAATATTCCAAAATGGCGAATGCCAGCACCAATGTCCATGTGGTAGAAGGAGCTCCCAAAAGTGGCTGCTGCCAGTGTCTTTGTCTCTGGGGTGAGCAGCAGTTGCCTTCTGCCTCTCTAGGAGACTCTCCAGGGTCAGCAGGTAGGTCTGACACAGGCTCCTATCAAATTACTGCTTCTTCTCTGGGTCCCGGAGCATGTGAGATTTAGAGTGCACCCTCTGAGGGTTAAGACTTTATTTCCCACAGCCCTCTGGGACGCCTGAAAGTTAGCCCCACTGGCTTTCAGAGCCAAAGGCTCTGGAGGATTGTCTTCCTGGTGCTGGATCCCTGGCTGCGGCGCCCAGCATGGAGCTCGGACCTCTCACTTCTCTGGGAGAACCTCTGAGGTTGTAATCATTCTCTTGATTGTGAATAACGCACCCAGGGGTATGGAATTTGACTATATTGAGACTCCACCTCTCCTTCCCATCTCACTGTGGTTCCTTCTTTATACCTTCAGTTGTAGGAGATCTTTTGTGATAGGTTCCGTCTTTTTCACCAATGGTTGTTCTGCAAATAGTTGTGACTTCAGTGTGCCTGTGAGAGGAAGAGAGCTCAGGATCTTTCTGCTCTACCATATTGCCAAGATAATCAATTTAGTCCTCAAAAAAAATGAATTAGGTACTGCTGTCATCCCCACTATAAAACTGAGAAATACGAGGTATGGAAAATTTACTAAGTTGCCTAAGATCACACAGTCATCAAGTGGTAGTGCTGACAGGGCAAATGTAAGGTCTTGGCAGTCATTCAAAACTCAGAATAAAGCTTAGGAAAGCTTCCTGGAAGAGGCGATAGAACCTACAAGTTGAAGTATCCATAAATGAAATCGTAATAAAGAAAGAGTAGATGAGCATTAGTCGGAAGAAAAACAATGTGCAGATATAGGAGTTGCACACAATGGAGGGTGGGTGTTTGTAGAATTGCACATAATTCTGGCGTCTGTAACCATTTTGGGATCCTACAAAGGATGGAGAAGTTAAAGGGTCCAATCTGTAGGTTTATTGAACAATAATTTCCTCAGCAAGACACTACATCTTTTGCTGCCTGACAAGTCTTTGCTCCTTGTTGTGTCCTCAGGCAAATGAGGTCCTCCAGAGCTTCCTGAAGTCCCAGGCAGGAGTAGAGGAAGCCATCCTGCAGGCAGACAAAGCCCTCACTGATGGGGACAAGGCCGTGGCAGGTACAGGGGAGGGCTGAGCTCACAAAGGGAAAGGTGGCTCTTGTGCTTCCCTTTGGCGGGTGTGAAAACAAACACTTCCTCACACGGGAGCTTCCTCTCCTTCTGTGGAACCTCTCTGCTACATCTGGAAATAACCAGGGGAGTTTGGGTTGCATGTACATCCAATCAGTGCCTTCGCATCACATGCTAAAGCATGTTTTCTGATGTGGTAGTAGGAATATTCAGATTCCTTCCCACCATTTTAAAGTCATTTTATCTCTGAGCTAAGGAGGTGACAGCTCAGCATAACTGTTATATTCTTCCCTCTTTGAAACTCTTGTGAAACAGTTGTGTGTGCCAAGAAGCATGCAGCTGAGAGGGAACAGCAGCTGCTAAGAGAGAAACAGAATGAAGAGGAGCAAAAAATGGCAGGACAAGAGAGAAGCTTCAAGGAAAACATGACCCAACTGGAAGAGAAGATGGATAGGGAAAAAGAAAACCTTCTAAGAGAGCAGGAAACAATGCTGAGGCACAAGCTGAAGGTAAGTCTGGATGGGCCTGGGCAGGGCCTGATGGACAAAATGCTATAGCCTCTCAGGAATAAAGGAACAGAAATTTGACCTTAAGTCAGATCCCAGAGGGAAATCCAAAGACATATGATTCTCTGTGACATCAAAGAGATGTGGATCGCGCTGAAGAGTTAACCTCTGTAAGACTCAGCACCTTCTGTAGTGTTAGGGTTTGGAGCATACAAATAACATGGCCTAGGCTCCTGGACTGCTGTTTGTGGTGATTATAGGCTCGCATTTGCCCCCAAGTGAATAGCACCTCAGTCCTAGAGTCCTTAGAAATTTTGGTACAACCATCAGAGACCTGGAGTAGTTCCATCTGCTCTTGAAAGTATCAGATTGTACCTGGTATGAAATACTGGATTCTGAAAGCTCTAAAATTTGCTGCATTCATTTCCAGGTCTGCCCGATTCATTTTAAACACCTAGAGTAAATGCATTCTTTGTCTCAACCTGGAGTTTGATAGACAGTGTCCTAAAGAGAGTCAGCAGTGCCATTTTTGTGACATATGTGTGGTCATCCTACCTCAATGAAACTGACAAATATTTAGAATTCACCTACATTCCCTCCCAAAGTGCATTACTAGGGCTGGAACACAGTGCTGGGGTAGTTTTCAGGTCTGACCTAGGCCCATCTTTTCTGTGCCCAGGGAGATGGTGTTGAGGGAACTTGGGAAGCTCTAAACCCTGGATGCTCTCACTACCCAGGTCCAAACATTTGCAAATATTAGACAAATGTCAAAAAGCATCTAAGGTATTATAGAAATAGACACACATACTTACCTGATGTAGTTGTTTGATACAAAATCTTGATTTGGGCTATTTTCAAAAGGGACTCTCTCCTTTTTACAGATGCAAGAAGAACTGCTTACAGAAGGATTTAAAAAGGAAGCTGAAGAGTTAAATAAAGAGATAGATCAACTAAAAGAAGACATTGAAATAACTAAAACTAATAAGTCCATAAAGATTTCAGAGGTCCTTGATGTGGCTAGCATGACATTAGTTGCAGTACTACCTGGGGGTTATAAGGTACTTGGTATGGGAGTGAAACTTCTCAGTGATGCTATGAAAAGGGTTGATAATCCCTATTAAGTATATTTTGAAAGGCTTCTTATGTTTTAATAGTGTAACACTGTAGCTCATTTTTTAAATATGTTGTCATGACAGTTTTGCTGAAGAGGAGTTTAAAAATAAAAACTGATTACCAAAGAATTACCAAAGTGATTACCAGGGCCTGAAATGCAAAAAAAAAAAAAAAAACAATTTTGAGAATTAGTTAAGTTAAAGAAATGGAAAACAAGTTGGAGGATAATGATTAATTATAGAAAAGTGTTAAGAAGAGCAAAAAAAAACAAATGGTAAGAGGAAGAACACTCGCAATCTATGATACAGTCATGGAGATCAATTCATTAAGTTATAAGGAGCCCTTATAAATCAGTGAGGAAAGAGCAACAAACACAATTTTTTAAATGTGCGAAAATATACCAAGAGAGGGCTTCCCTGGTGGCGCAGTGCTTGAGAGTCCGCCTGCCGACGCAGGAGACGCGGGTTCGTGCCCCGTTTCGGGAGGATCCCACATGCCGCGGAGCGGCTGGGCCCGTGAGCCATGGCCACTGAGCCTGCGCGTCCGGAGCCTGTGCTCCGCAAATGGGAGAGGCCACAACAGTGAGAGGCCCGCATAACGCAAGAAAAAAATATATATATATATACCAAGAGAATACGTGTGTTCAACTTTACTGATTATACATGATGCACAAGGTAAAATTAGGAGGTACCTGTGTCACCTCTCAGATGGGCCAGGAAGTACAGGGCACTAGCTAGCAAGAGTTCCAGGAAGTTGGCAGTCTCTGATACTTGCTAGGGAGAGTGCAAACTGATGCAAACATATACCAAAAATTTAAATGCAAATACTGCTGATACAGAAGTCCACATTTAGGAACTTATCTTATAGATTTATTTACCCAAGTTGAAAATGGCTTATGTAGTAGTATATTTGTTGAAGGATTGTTGTAATTCCAGAAGATTGGAAACAACTTTCAAGTCTCTCTGTCACACACTGGTGAAGTAAATCCTGAGACACACTTACAAAGGAATACTCTACAGTCACTGAAATGGAAAGGGAAACTCTTATTTGTGCTAACATGAGAAAATCTCAAGATGCAGAAAATGTGTATAGTTGTATTACCAATTTAAAAAACTAATGAGAGGGCTTCCCTGGTGGTGCAGTGGTTGAGAGTCTGCCTGCCGATGCAGGGAATGCGGGTTCGTGCCCCAGTGTGGGAAGATCCCACATGCCGCGGAGCGGCTGGGCCCGTGAGCCATGGCCGCTGAGCCTGCGCGTCCGGAGCCTGTGCTCCGCAACGGGAGAGGCCACAACAGTGAGAGGCCCATGTACCCCCAAAAAATAAATAAATAAATAAAAAATAATAATAATGAGTATATGCATATATTATCATCTATCTTTGGAAAATACCAAAGAAATTGGTATCCATGAACATAACAGGATTGGACCTGCATATTTGAGGTAAGACATGAGAGGATAACTAACTTTGCATGACACATTCTTCTGTGCCTTTTATATTTTGTACGAATTCTTGCTTATTGAAACATAAATACAGTTATTAAAATTAAAATCAGAAATAATAATACATAGAATGCAAAAGTGCCCATGACAGGATGAAAGTTTTTTTTTTTTACATTTATTTCATTATTTATTTATTTTGCCTGCACCAGGTCTTAGTTGCAGCATGCAGGATATTTATTTATTTATTTATTTTTGGCTGCATTGGGTCTTCGTTGCCGCGTGCGAGCTTTCTCTAGTTGTGGTGAGTGGGGACTACTCTTAGTTGTGGTGTGTGTGCTTCTCATTGTGGTGGCTTCTCTTGTTGCGGAGCACAGGCTCTAGGCGTGCGGGCTTCAGTAGTTGTGGCATGCGGGCTCAGTAGTTGTGGCTCCAAGGCTCTAGAGTGCAGGCTCAGTAGCTGTGGCACACGGGCTTAGTTGCTCCTCAGCATGTGGGATCTTCCCAAACCAGGGCTCGAACCAGTGTCCCCTGCATTGGCAGGTGGATTCTTAAGCACTGTGCCACCAGGGAAGTCCCAGGATGAAAGTATTAAACACTACTAGAAATAACATGCCAGCTCAACAGGAAAAATCTACTTATTACAGCCAGAAACAAAAAGTATAAGATGTGCATCCTAATTTTCTTGTCATTTGGGGCTCTTGGTAAGGCCTGGAAATTCTAGTCCCTAATTTATTTATAGATAAAACGTCCCCTGGGATGTTGGCTAAAATGTTCTCTAAATACTCAGGTTTATAAAGATGGTGATTTCAAAGGAAAATTTCTCTTCAAGTTCAATTCAGCATTTTAGGAATTCTTCTCAGCTGTCTAATGCTTGATGCTTGTACTTAGAATAAACTGCTTATAATTCCACAATTGGACAAATTCTCTTGATTCAGGGATATTGCACACAGGACACAGACTTCACTAGACACCCTGGCTTCCTCCCCCTGTGCCCCTTATTTGCTAACATCTGTTATTCCTTACGGTCTTTGATTTCCTGAGACTAGGTGTGGTGTCCCTCCTCTGTGCTGCCATTGTGCCATGTTTCCCTCCGACCACAGGACTTTTTATATAGTTGTGAAACTGAAATGACCTATTTACATTTTGTCTCCCCTCATCTCATCTACTTGATAATCCTCACTGTATATTTAGCTCCCACCACAAAGCCCACCACATAAGCCCCAGTTGTTCAAACAATGCACGTGAATAAATACATGAGCTTCCACCCATCAGGGCCCCAAATTGCCATTTCCGTACTGCTGCCTAGGGTTCTCAAGATGAAGTATACAGTTTTAGGAACTAGTACTGAAAGGAATCGGGAAGAAAGCACATGCACGCCTGTCTGAACCTGCTGCTCTTCTCTGTGAGAGGGACACTCCATGTGCTCTGAGTTACTTAAACTTTTCTCCCAGGAAACTTAGCCAGCAATGAAGCCATCACCTTTGGCTCACAGAACAATGGTATTGTTTAAAATAGTAAAGAAAAAGCCAGTAATTGGCAAAGCTCTCATTGTCACCATAATTGTCACCTGTTCAAGGAGCTTCCGTTGAAAGAAAGCTAAGCTTTTGGTACGAGGACCAATTTCTCACTGAACATGACACCCACAGGCTGACAGACTGTGGAATCTATAGGATGGCTCTGCTTTCTTAAGGGTTGTGAGTTATGCTCAGTTGCCATTTCTCTGGAATAAGTCCTGCAGCTGGTCCAGTCCCCAAATGCCCTCTGGTGTCACCTTTGAGGTGGAGGAATGCCCTGAATACCGAATGTCTGGATGGTCTGGAAAAGGGGGTGAGGGGGCAGTAATGAGTTCTGCTTCCCCATCAAATCTCCCCAACACACATGACAAGCAATGTAAATAAGAAACATGCACACAAGTTGGTGCCATGGAGTGATCATGGTTTAGAGAAAGGAAGGGATCAGGAGTGAGGGAAAGGACAATTATAGCAGAGTGAAAGGAATCTTCACTACTTTGATGTTTAGTCATAAGTGGGCATCTGTTGGAATAAAGTTATATACATCTCAAGACAAGGCTTCAGGTGAAAGGCGTCTTCCATACTTGATAATTAATAAATAATTGTTAAATTACTGTAGGAATCAAAGATCTATACAAGTACTTGTTCAACAATTTTGTAGGAAGGCAGCATCACAACCATTCTTTCACACAGTATTTTGGAGCAGGAAGAAGTGAGCTACTCTGGACATCTCCACTTTCCTTTCCCCTTCTCCTCAAATTTGTGTATAGCCTGTCTCACAAGTGCTCTCTCACCTGTTAGCTGGGTATTGTACAGTCCTCACAGAATGTATTTATTAAGGAGATTCTTCAGTGTTACAGATGGGTTACAGGAACTCATTAGAAATGCAAAAAAAAAATAGAAGAGACTTCTCTTCAAGAATACAGGAAGTAACTTCTTAAGGAAGCAAGACTGACAAGACAGTGTCAGGTGGTCTCCTTTGGTCTCTTCAGGCTTAGGTTAAATTCTGCTCATTGTGTACATTGAGTGTAACACAGGCAAGAACATTTAAACAACCAGTCTGCAGCCTGGGTAAGTCCTTCTGTATGAAGCAAAGGCACAGTCCATGGTGGATGCCACAAGCAGCTGTGGCAGGTCCTGTGAGCTTGAAGTCCTATCGGGGTTTGTGTCCTCTCTGGAGTGCGGAGAAGCAGGGCAACAGGAGCGAACCCAGGAACATGCACACTTGGCAGGAGCCACTGCCCCTGCCCTACCTTATGTCCTGTTCATACAAGGGGGTTGAGACCTGTTCAATTCTCTACTTTAAGCCACACTGACTTCATTATTATTATTGACTGTTATGCCAGCTAGCAAACTCTTTTTGTCAATTCAGAAAAGAAGACATCCTGTACAAAAATCACCTTATCTTAAGATGTTTTATTCTAGATTTGGTAAATTCACATTCTATAAACCACCCTATGGGTATAAATTGGAGTCAGCATGTAAAACTACACAGCACACCTATATTCCTGAACTATTTTAATGTTAATTACCACATGGAAAAAAGTAATTATTTCCAGTTCCAAGCTGCTATTGTCTTGAATCTTTGTCTCCTACTTGGTCACTAGAATAAAACACCTTTATTGTACCCTCCAACTTCATCAACTGCCTCTGGTTTCCCTGATTTCTGTCCAAACCAAGAGGACTAGTAAAATCTCTCATTGTGGTCACATTTCCTATGTAACCTACCTGATTAAGATAACTCATCTGTGTACATTGAACACTATATATGCTTAGTAAATACTCATCTAATAAATGAATGAAATGAATGAAAGATGGATTTCAATACCAAACACCTAGCAGAAATTTTTTCTTGAAACAAAAGATTTTTGTTTTTCAAAAGATAAGTAATTTACCACTGTGTATGTGTTCTATGACTATAAAACAATTCAAAATCATTTTAAAAATTCACTAGTCACAGAAAGAATAAAAATAGTAAACTAAAATCCCAGCCATGGGCTAGAAATGCTGTTACTACTGAAACATATAACGATCAAGGATTTTTTATTAGTTTATAA